CTTTTCATGAAATCAATAAACTGAATCATAGTTTTATTTATATTAACTGCAAGAAAATTCAAACTGATCTATGAGACAATGAATGAATAATTACTAATGGTTGACTTTCCTCTACATTTATTATAATTATTATTTATTTCTTTCTTAAAGAGTGTTTTGAGAAGAATAAAAGAAAAAAGGTCGTTGACAAAAAAGAAAAGGCAAACAAGTTAAGCATTTCAGTTTCATAGGTTATCAAATATGATTACATAAACCATCATTAAAATGGTAATGCAACTTTTCTAAAAAAAGTTATTAGTGTTTGTTTGTTTTAACTTAATCCTGATACAAATACATAAATGCTCTTCTTTTTTACCTAATGCATTGGGGTCAAATCGGGTGTTTCTTTTGTTTTTCTCATTAGGTCCTTATATGGATGAAATAACTAAATGGTTATCTTTCAACCAAAAAGGTTCGCATCACACATAGCCACACTCACGTATTGGAGAAAAGAATGTACAATAGATAATATATATGAATTTCTAGATTTAAAACACTACCCCTTCACAAAAAAATTATTATTTTTATTTATCTGTTATACACTTACCTAAATAATTAAAAATTAATTCATAATTTTTCTGTGTAGATATTTTCGAGTAAAAGAGATGTCCGAGTTTTTAGAAGTAGAAAGAGGGAGACAACAATAGTTATGGTAGTATTTTCCCATAATAGCATTCTACTTTTCAATTATTTCTTGCTTTCAAAACCGAAAAAAAAGCTCAAATATGAATCATGAACCCTAATTTTATTATTTATTTATTTATTTATTTATGATTCACAGCTAGCATTGGATTTTGATTCGGAGACAATTAGGTTGAAATAGAATGTTACTACCTTTGACTTTGTTTCTATTTATATTTTGATACCTTTAGATCTGTATGTATGTTTATGTGTCTGTTTTTAACTGAGTCTATAATTGTTTGTGCATATGTCTTTTGATATTGAAAGTGTGCATCAATGGTTATAGATTAGCCCATTGGTTTTTGTTCCAAAGTGTGCATCTCTATTTCAATCGAACGCCTTCCACCCCACGCAAGGCGTGAGGAACATTTCTAGTTATGTTTAATAGTTAGAATTGTTTACCATTTGTTACTTTATTTGTTTTTTATAAGTTTTTGTCAGTAAACGTTTCGTTTCTAATATGTTGATTATCAAATCACATGATTCTTTGCTTTTAGACTTTATTTGTTTATACGATTAACATTTTTGTTTGTGATTTTTTTTTTTAAATTCGATGAAAATTATACCAAACATGGTCCTAAATCTCTATTTGGTACAAGATAGTAAATAATGTATAAACCAAATTTACTGTATGTGTATGTGGAATGTTGAGCCCCACTTTTATTTAATTTCACTTTTAGATTAAATTAATAATTTGGTAAAACATTCAATGTTTTGTTAAGTACCATTCAAATGATAAACATCGCTTTTTTGTGTTTTCTTGTTTTGACACCCGTTTTTTTATTTTGGAATTACATGTATGTCTGATTGAAAATTTTTATATTAATTTAAAATTATATGTTACTTAGTCGTTTTGGTAGCAAATTGCAAGATTTCAAGGTCAAGCATCGGATGTTGAGATTATGAGAAAGGAAATAAAGATTTGTATGTAAAAAATATGTGAATGCGTTTGTTGATTTTGTAGTATGTTATGAGAAAATAATCGAGTTTAGTCAAGGGTCATGGATTAGAGAAATTGGAAACAAAAAGAGTTTATTTTTCAAGCATTATAATGTTTGAATTCTTTAATTTATATATAAAAAAAAATTGTTATGATACAGACTTGTAAATCAATTTTTATTCAATTTTCCAAGAATTCTCTAGGGTTTAAGATATTGTTAATGGATATCCATTGGACAAAGTGGAGACATAAAGAATTTTTGAGCAATGTATTTCTCAATTATTCTTCAAGAATGCTAGAATTCTCCAAAGAAAATTCACTAGCAAAAAATAGATAGTGTTACAAACTAATAATCAACAAAATAAAACTAAAAAAACAATGTTATTCTTTTATATATATATATATATATTATATATATATATATATATATATATATATATATATATATATATAATATGCTGTAGTATATCATATTCTTAAAGAATACATGTACACTAATCAACACAATCAAACCAAAAGAATGAATGTATTTTTAAAGAATATCCAATATACAGAAAAACGAAATATTCTTGTAGTATGCACGAAAAATAATCAACTTTTTAAACAAAAAAAATCAGAGGGTTTTACTAATCATACTAAAAGATTAGAATTTAAAATCTAGTTGAAATTTCATCATTTATTATCCTCACTTTTCATAAATATTGTTGATAAATTTGACTAAGAATTAATTAAGTGTAAGAATATAATACATGTTATATTATGTTAATAAGATTCATCTTAAGATCATAACCTTTCATTTTTTAATCTAATGAACCAAAATTGATCATACACTTCACACTATTTTTGTTTTTCACATTTAATCATCTCTCTCTCTCTCTCTCTCTCTCTATATATATATATATATATATAATAATATATATATATATATATATATATATATATATATATATCTTTACTATCTTATAAAAGAAATCTAACTATTTCTATAAATAGATTGATTATAATAATATTATTTTTTAAGACGTCCAAATGATGAAGCTGATAGTACAAGTAACCATTAATAAAATAATATTAAATTTTAACCAAATTTTGAATTCAAATATTTATCATCAAATCTCCTTATATTTCTCAGCAATTTGATATGGTTCCCTCAAATCCCGTATTCATTCAAATTTTGAACTCTTTTAGATATCCTTAAATTTAGCATGTTGATTCAAATATCCCTCCAATCGCATATACCTCTTTATTCCCTCCTCTGCTATAAAGTCTACCGTCCAGGAACAAAAAATGACTTCATCTCCCAAATAACACCATAGTTTGATTATTTTGTCTTCGACATGTACTTTCTTTTGTAACATAACATTTTTATAGAGGAAACATATCATCGAAAGAATTTACATGCTCCGCCGCTTTGCGCGGGTACACTGCTAGTTATATATATATATATATATATATATATATATATATATATATATATATATATATATATATATATATATATATATATATCTCGATGTAGCCTATGTTTGGTTATAAATTTATAAGCAAAAGCTTTTATTTAAATTAATTTTTATACACTTTTATTTATATATAAAAAGACCTTTATACATGATCAAACCCTAATTTGCTATAATATGAAATCAGGTTTTATCTCTACTCTATAAACTCTTATTTATCTTTTATTATAAAAAATATATTTATATAAATACATGATACAACATATATTTTCTAGTTTAATTGGATAAAGATTTTATTTATTAAAGTCAGTAGATTCAAGTTTAGCATTGGCATTGTGTTTTTAAATTCAAATTAAATTTTAAGATTTTTTTTTTTTTTTTTTTTTTTTTTTTTTTTTTTTTTTTTTTTTTTTTTGACTTTTTCATATAAAAAACACATCTTTCCGTGGTTACATTATCTTATGACTTCAAATAAATATAAATTTATATTCTATTGATATTGACCGTCATTCAAATGTTTAAGCTTATTTATATAATTTTTTTTTTTATAAATTTAACCATTATATCTTTATCTATTTTACATGTTTTACAAAACCCTCTCATTTAATCGGTTAATTTTTAAACACAAATCATATTTTAATATAAACATATATATACAATTATATCGGCTCTTTATTTTTTTTAGTATAATACAAAAAATATTATGTTATAGTTAAAAAATAAAATAAAAACTTGTAAAACATTATGTTATCTTTATAGTTAAATTAAGTGATCAAACCAGTGGGCCTCTATTTTATTTTTGTCCAGACTAGGGATGTCAACGGGAGCAAACGGGTCGGGGAATGCATCTCCCGCCCCCACCCCGAAATTTCCCTGTTCCCCGCCCCTGCCCCGCCCCCGGAATGTTCAATGTTCCTACCGCCGCCCCCGCCCCCGAATCCCCTTTCTTACCCCCGCCCCCTCCCCCGGTTTTTTATATATTAAAAATAAAAAAGTTACGGCATTTTAAAAAATTATACTAACAACTTAAAAACATGTTTTTTGATAAATTTTGGAAGCTCAAAATCATGTTATTGTTTATTATATTTATATAATTCATATATATAAATATATGTATAATTTATTAACGGGGTCCCCATGGGGATTTCGGGACGAGATTGTCTACCCCCGCCCCCGAAATGAAAACGGGGGTTAACCTTGCCCCCGCCCCCGTCCCCGCCCCCGATTTTTTTTAAAAAAATCCCCCAAACGGGACGGGGCCCATGGGAACGGGGTCCATGAGACTTTTTGACATCCCTAGTCCAGCAATTGTCGATCGGACCCGGTGCAGCGGCCAACAGGTGTGTTCACGGCCTAAGAACGGTGGACGGTGGTGGTGGTGCTCACTACAGCCAAAGTACCATTGCTACTTTGATTGTACTTGTATAATTCCAATTTCCATACCACCGTCAAGTGTCGATCCACCACAGCAAAGAGCGGTGGATGTTGGTGGTGCCGACGACGGTAAGCCATTAAGAAATCGCATAAGGGTTTATTCCGATTTGGGGTTCCGTATTAATCTGATGGATCTTATGTCCGGAAGGTTTGAGAATAAAACTACAAAATTTAAGGTTCATGAAAGGTCTAGATAGATTGAAGACGAGGGTTCTTGTGACAAAATATCATCTTTTTCTGTTGACATTGTTGGATTAATTTTTAACGTGCGTAGCTTAGCTTGTTTTTCAATCGCTTTATTTGTCTGGTGATTGGAAAAACAGGGGAATTTAGATGGTTTCAGAGGAGAATAGAGGACAACAGAGCTAGGGTTCAAAAGACGCAAACAGGACCGGTCCAAGACAATTTGAGGCCCGGGGCAAAATATAAAATGGGACCCTTCATGACATCTCTGAATACTTTTATTAACTAAAGAAAATAATACAATTGTAGGGTGGGGATTCCCCAACTATAAAAATAAAAAAAAAGCTTCCCAACAGGACCAAAAGCCACCAAACAACTTAACAACTATTAAATATAAAAACAACAAAGAAACATTATGAACCCTCCTAATACATAAACATAACAAAGAAAAACTAAAAAAATTACATTTACCAATTTTTTAGATGCAAAGTTATCGATTATTCTATCAACTTTAATATCATCTAGCAAATCTTTCTTAATTCGTAATGTGGCAAAACTATTCAGTCTTCTTAATTTTCTAATCTGCTGTAAGAAAGTGAAATGCAACAGATATCAGAAATACAACAAATATCTGGAATTTAGAATGAGACACTGTAAGAGCAAGAATCAATATTTGTATCAGATTAAAAAAATCGAATTTAAAAGTCTAAGATCGAAATTTGTATAATTATATTCAATTGTAAGAAAAAAAATTGAAATTTTAATCAAATTAAACTTACATAGATTCAGAAATCAGTTCATGATTTGAGTCTTTGAATTCTTTGAGTCTCAAACTACAGAATGATTCAATCCTTCATAAAGAAACAAAAAAAAAACATAGGGGTATTTCATAAATTAGTCACAGATTCATAATACATTCAAGAATCTCGTCTTCTGCTCTATTAATTTCAAAAATAAGAATGAAGAATCGCTTGATGCACTCTCAACTCTCAAGGGAAAATCGATTAGAGATTTATAGGGGATGGAAGAAATTATGGGATAATGAGATTTAGAAATCAGAAAAGAAAAAAAAAAAGAATCAGAAGAATAGAAGTAACCGTTGTGTGGAGTCTGGAGAAGTGGAAGCGGTGCATTTGGAGTCTCCATAGAAATCATTGATAGCCTTGGAAAGAGGGATTTGTGAATGCATGCTCGACATCTTGCTCCCGCTTTTCGATTCCTCTCGTATGTTATAATTTGGCCTGATAACTAGTGGACTAGGCTAAAAATAATGGGCTAACTCAATATAGCAAATGCAAAATGGGGGCCCTTTGTTATTTGGGGGCCCGGGGCAGTCGCCCAGCTTGCCCAGGCCCATGGGCCGGCCCTGGACGCAAATATGACTTCAAAAATACATCTTCATCTCATTATATATTGGTGAGTTTAGCTGTTTCCAGCAACCTATTTAGATTCAGAAATTTAATGCAATATAAGAGTATATAAAAATACATAAACTAACCTTTTGATGAACGATGAAAACACAGGAAGATCCTATAATGCCCATGTCTTCGTTTCTTCCTTCTTGAGGAAGAGAAGATATGTATGAAAGAGAAAGATGGCATCTTCAAATTAAATGAATTAGGCTTCTTTAAAGTACACAAGTCTACGTTATATCATTATCACAATGAATGAACTAGGCATCTCGAAAAGCAAACCTACTTCCCGTGATTACCTACTTTTTAGTTGTTATTGGGTTTGGGTAAGAGTGACACGTGATACTCCTAAAAAGGCATTTCTGCTCTTTTGTTTCGACATTGGTTAATTTCTCTATTGGAGTTCCTACTTAAATAGATACAGAATAGTTGAACCGATTCAAATGATAGTTTGATTTATTATATTTGGTTATTTGGTTAATACATCCCATGTCTTCGTTTCTTCCTTCTTTAGGAAGATATAGGGATGGCAAAAGAAACCGAACCCGATGGTGAAAATCGAAAACCGACATATTAGGGTCGGGTTTGGGGTCGGTTAATTGGGGTCGGGATCGGGATTGGTATGCTTTTAGAAAATTTTCGCGGGTTTGGTTACGGGGACGGTAAACAAAATACCCGTCCCGATTACCCGAAACCAAAACCAAAACCGAAACCCGTTACCTGAAACCGTTAATATGATTATATATATATATATATATATATATATATATATATATATATATATATATAAATTTATTTGAGTTATCTTCTTTGTTGTGAACGATTTAAAGATAATTTCTTGAGATAGCTTCGTGTTTATTTGTAATGCTAGTGTTTTGATACTTTTTTATTCATATTACTTAGAGTAATAGTGATATTATGGTTTATGAATGCTAGTGTTTTTATTGTTTTTGTTGCTACTAGTAACCACTTATGTATCAGAACAAATATGTATGCTCTTAGTAGTTTTGTAAATTATCAAAATTATTTTGGATATGAATTTATGTTTGCATCACTAAGTCTAATGGTTTGTATTCTCATTTCATCAAAAAAAAATTTAATTTGAATGTTAAACGGGGATCCCCATTACCCCGTTGGGATACCCGCAAACCCGATAGTGTTCGGTAAACAGATACCTGTTGGGAATTGAGCCGGTGATGGGATCGATTTTCATATTCGGGGACGGGGGCGGGATTACCAAAACCCATCTCAAACCCGCCCCGTTACCATCCCTAGGAAGATAAGATATGTATGAAAGAGAAATCCTTATTAAGTAATGGCTTTTTAAGGGGGCCAGCTTACGGGCTGTAAGACGGAGCGAATCCGGAAAGATTGCCTCAGTTCGGATTGTTGGCGGGAACTGGGCTTGGCTTGGTTAGTAGTGCCCACCCATTCTGTCTCGGCGGGATTACCAAAACCCATCCCAAACCCGCCCCGTTACCATCCCTAGGAAGATAAGATATGTATGAAAGAGAAAGATGGCATCTTCAAATTCAATGAATTAGGCTTTCTTTATGAGATTGTTTGTATTTTCCCATAAAAACCCATCTATTATTAATTCACAGTATATATATATATATATATATATATATATATATATATATATATATATATATATATATATATATATATATATATATATATATATATATATATATATATATATATATATATATATACACACACACATACACACGGAAATAATCAATTGAGAACACTAAAAAGGTTGAGAACGCGAGAACAGTTCTGAACCAATCAATACATAAGGGCGTTAACGGAATTTAGCAATGTAATTAAATTATAAAAAAATAAATATAATCATATTTTCCTATAATTTAGGGATTATGACAGTTTCCTTAAAACAAGAATTTAATGTTATTTTTAATATTATTAAGGGATAAAAAAACGTTATTTCCGATTTTGTTTTGAGAGTTTTCAGAATTTTTTTTATTATTCGCCATGTATAGATATTCATTGGTGAATAATGCTCTTCATGACAGATTTACTAGAACTTAACAATTGTTCATGACAAATTTACCGAAATTTTTTTCTAGAATTTTCAAAATTTATATGATATCATGTTAATCATGAACGAGTAAAAAGCAGACAAAAAAAAGATGTAATATACGACTTATTTATCTAACAACAATCAATGGAAATATATTCATCTAGTAACATTCATAAATGAGTAATGTTACATTACTTTTATTCAAAAATACATACATTTAATATTCGTCATGTTTTATTCTTAAATGAATAAAACTAAATTTAATTATACTCATAAATACATATTCGTTTCTTTTCCCGCTGCTACATATATTTCTTTTTTCTTGTGATGAATCTTTTCACATGAAATATGATGCTTTGATATTAACTTGTGTAGTTTTTTTACAGCAGAAATTCGCAAACAACACTTTGTAAGGTCATAATTATTTCGAATTCACCCGCCTTGAATACCTATCACAATTTTTAGACAAATGAAAAATCAACTTTGTTTTTTGATATTTGAAATCCATACATAATACTTATAATCATAAAATAAATACAGTACATAAAACGATAAATAATTCCAATACATTTGCAATCCTAAATGAATAAAGCATAGTTATGATATATAAAAATAATCTAAAAACACATATAATCATAAATAAACAAAGCTCAGTTTCAATCATATATAAAAAAGTCAAAATACAAATATAATCAAAAATGAATAAAGCATGATATAGAGATAAACAAATATGATATAATCACAAGCATAAATGAATAATGCATAATTGTAATCGTATATAGAAAAAAATCAAAATTTAGTAGTAATCATAAATGAATAACACAAATTTCTAATCAAATATAAAAAATCTTTGTAATCATAAATGAACAAAATATTATAAGAATCAAATTTCTAATCAAATATAAAAAAAAAAAAAAAAAAAAAAAAATCTTTGTAATCATACATAACATCAAGAAACAAAAACTAAATTGTTGGAGCAATGGATAGTAAAAAAAAAAATTAAGATAACTAAGTAAAAGAAGGAACCAAATTTTGTGTTTACTGTGTATTCTTTTAGTGCACGATATGTCATTCAAAAGGTACAACACAAAACATAAAAACAATATAACAAAATAGCATCTAATACCTGTAGTGCTACTTGATAAATAACCCTTTCATCACCAATTGCTTCTTCAACGACCCCAGGGCGAGAATGACCAGATTGCCCTGCATAATGTGTTGTAGAAAGAACCTGCAATTCAATGGTGAACGAACCTGCAATTCAACACAAACGCTTCAGTGCCCAAATTTAGCAATCCCCAAAAAGAAAGCAACAGATTCCCTCACAAACCCTCGTAGTTTGACTACTAATCAACCCACGAGGAAGATTAACAATATGTGAATCCTTGCAATAAAGAAAGTAGTTTCACATGAACCATAAACCAACTACGATGATAGAACGTAAACATCAATATATCACCAAGAAAGCAGATAAACGTAGCCAGGTTTGATGGATAATAGAAAACTCTATTTGTAAGGCTTGAAGGGTTCTTCGATTTTCTGTTTGTGGGTGATTGCAGTAGGAAGAAAAACTTTGTGCCTATCTCTCCTTCAACCAATTACCGGTGCCTTCCACAACCATTTCTGTCCTTTAAGGCTTGAAGGGTTCTTCGATTATCTGTTGGATTAGGGTTCCACAACCATTTTCATCCTTTGAGGCTTGAATGATTTTCTGATTTTTTGTTGGATTACGGTTTAAGAAAACGTGAAATAATAGAGGATAGATGTGAGGTGATGGTGTGATGGTCGACGATGGTTGCAAATGACTGTATAAAGTAATCGACGATGGAGGTTGGCGGGAGATGATGAAGGAAAATGGTGGTGAGATAGCAATGGAGAAGAGGAGATAACATGAAGAATGATGGGGTGTGCGGCCGCTATTCTCAATACAATAAGATTAGGGTTTTGTAGTTAAGTAGTGAGAGAAATAAAGAATAAGAATATCATACCTAAATTATAGGAATTTCTATTTAATTGAATTATATGGATTTTCTATTATACCCTTTTAGCCATTTTAAAGTTACGTATTTAGCACATCAATTTTATAATATACATAAATGGTCCAGTTAATTATAGCTCTAGATCAAATTATTTAGAAGGTTGTGATCTGTTCTCGCATTCTCAACCTTTTAGGTGTTCTCATTTGATCATACTCCTAGACATATATATATATATATATATATATATATATATATATATATATATATATATATATATATATATCGTATTAATTTAGAGTCTTATATATTCTTTTCCCAATGTTTTATGAAGATTGATTTACAATTGAATTTCAATCTAAAATAGATAAAAATAAAAATTTTTATTATTTATTTCTTTGATTTCAGAAATAAGAGAAAATAAGAAAGAAATAATATGCACTTTTTTCTGCTAATAGAAAAATCTAGAAATAGTAGATAATAGTAGAGGGGCGGATGTAGCCAAGTGGATCAAGGCAGTGGATTGTGAATCCACCATGCGCAGGTTCCATTCCCGTCGTTCGCCCAAATTTAGCCAATGGGCCGAACAAATATATCAATGAAAAGCTATATACAAAACACAATAATAATAATAATAACAACAACAACAACAACAACAACAACAAAAACAACAACAACAACAATAATAATAATAATAATAATAATAATAATAATAATAATAATAATAATAATAATAACCCGCTAACATCCCCCCGCAGTGAGAACGGGAGGAGACTCTCGCACGTTCAAATTGGTTCTAAAATCCAGAAATAAGTACATAGGAAGACTCTTCGTAAAGATGTCAGCATACTGAGACAAAGAGGGAACATGAAGTACATGCACATGACCAGTAGTAACCTTGTCCTGAACAAAATGAAGATCAATCTCGATATGTTTGGTCCTTTGATGATTAACCAGACTAGACGACATATAGATAGGACTCACGTTATCACAATATACAATCGTAGCTCGATGAGGAGAAGAGTGAAGCTCTATTAGAATATTGTGAAGCTAACATGTCTCAGCTACAGCATTCGCGACACCGCGATATTCTGCTTATGCACTGGACTGTAACGTCGTGTTCTATCATTTAGAGGACCAAGAGAGGAGATTGTATCCAAGAAAAACACAGTAGACCAAAGTGGATCGTCTAGTAACCAGATAGCTTACCCAGTCGGCATCAGAATACGCGATGAGATCGTTACCAGGAGAAGAAAATAGCTGAAGCCCGTGACTGGTAGTACCGCGTATGTAATGCAGGATGCGTTTCAGAGCTGTAAAGTGAGGTTCCTGTGGGTCATGCATATAAAGAAATATCTGTTGTACTGCATATGTGATATCTGATCTCGTAAATGTGAGATATTGAAGAGCACCAGCAAGACTGCGATACAAAGTAGGATCATCAATCGGCGGACCCGACCCATCAAGTTTAGATGACATATTATGTGACATCCCCAAAATCACGGCCAGAAAAGACCGATTTCATTTATGCTTTTTAAAATAATTTCAGAGTAAATCCTTTTGATTTAAAAGTGTTGCGGAATTTGTTCCCAAAACAAAACATGATAAAATAATATTTATCAAAGCATTTCATCAAGAGATGCATTTTCATTATATAATTAAAACTCAGGGTGTCATGTTCCAATACAGACCATAAAGCATAAATGGTAACATTACAAGTTATTCAACAAATATATACATATACAGAATTGTAAACAAAACAAGTCGATGATTCATCCATCTTACGCCCTTGCGTGTAACGCCCGTAGATCCGGGCTAGTCAATTTAGAGACGATAAGCATCAAAAATGACTTTTTGATGGAAGATTATTTAGAAGTATTAATCGTAACCAAGTTGTAGTATATGTCACAAGGTTTCCGTGCATATAAAGAACGCCAAAATCCGAGTTATAACAAAGAAGTTATGACCTGTCGAAGTTTCGCGACAGAACCGACACGACCTAGCGTGACCCAGCGCGATGTAAATAGTGAATTTAAGGTAGATAGATATCTATCCTTAGTGATCTAAACGAGAGTCGAAGATTTCTTCGATAGTAGTCCAATGATAAAAAGACAGACGAAAACAGAGTTCAGATGAAGGAGTTATGAATTTCGAACGGAGTTTTCCTGTCCCGGCCTACTATAGATAATATATAAGTAATATACTTATAATATATCAAAAATAAAGTCAAAACTAGCCAATGGAGTCTAAACGAGAGTTGTAGATCATAATCTCACCTTCGCGTCGATATAAAGAACGGCGAAAACGGAGTTCGTATGCGAAAGTTGTGAATTTCTGAAGTTCGGGGCGTGAAACCCCAAAACTATCAGAGACCACGACGTGGCAAGCAGTGCCACGACGTGGCAGGTCTCCTGACAGCTCCGGGAGTCCCCCAGATGCAACTTGGGATGACGCATGCAATGACGATCAAGCCCACGATGTGGCAAAAGGATCCCACGACGTGGCAAGGGCTAAATTTGCCCTATAAATAGATTTGAAGGGCCAGCCGACTATGGTTGCTCCATCCCTTCTCTCCCACTCCCGATACACCCTCTAAGCCTTATTTTAACCCCCCAAAGCCCCGATATCAACCCCGAGACCCGAAGCAAGTCCCGAGATCCCGAAGATCCCGAGAAGTGCGGTTTCCGAACCGAAGCTCTGCCCACGAGAAGTTCGATTTTTGCGGAGATCTTCCATATCTATCGAAGAGTACTACGTCTGCAAGTCGTAGTGCTGTCCGATCATCTTCTGATCAAGTGAGTGTATACTACCTTTCATAAACACGATAATAATACAAGTATGGTTTGAGTGTATTAAGTTTATTGTTGTTTATATGTGTGAGTGTGTAGTTACTTTCTTCTAACACATAAATATGATGTATTTGCTATGAAATACATGCTATGTGTTTATATGTTATTTGTCTATTTGAGATGGGCATGGAAATTGGAGTTTTATACAGGTGTTAAATGATTTAAACTGTGTAAGTATTTATATCTACAAAATTGTTGGGTAGAACATAGGTAGATGGAATAGTTGGTGACTATGGAGTTAGCGCCTATTGTATAAACCTTGGCGACTATGGAGTTAGCGCACGTTGAGTAAACTTTGGCAACTATGGAGTTAGCGCTTGTTGAGTAAACCTTGGCGACTATGGAGTTAGCGCTTGTTAAGTGAACCTTGGTGACTATGGAGTTAGCGCCAGATAACTATGGATTTAGTACTTGATAAATAAGCTTTGGCAGCAATGGAATTCATGCCAAATTCCTTACGAATAAATGAATGAAGGATAGTTGGTTCTTAGGGTAAAACCTTATGGAGATAATGGGGATAGGTAACTGGGTTGATTGTTTGCTGATTACATATAATAATTATATCATTGTGGGTTGAAAACCCTATATGCTCACCAGGCTCCCAAGCCTGACCCACTCAGTTTTCTTTGCATTACAGGTAATGGCACAAGGGTATAAGTTGGTGGTCTTGACGAGAGAATTTGGATTATAGATCAGTAGTTATAAATAATTGTTGTAAGGTCTATTTTATATTGTTTATGCTTTTGGTCTGTATCGGAACATGACATCCCGATGTTTTATTATTTAATGAAAATACGTTCTCTTTGAGAAACGTCTTGATAAATTTTATCATATTTTGTTTTGGGAACAAATTCCGCAACTCTTTTAAATCAAAAGGATTTACTCTGATTTTTATAAAACAAATCGGTCTTTTCTGGCCGTGAAATTGGGGATGTCACATTGCGCCACTTCCTGTAATACAAATAAAATTGAGTGGGTCAGGCTTGGGAGCCTGGTGAGCATATAGGGTTTTCAACCCACAATAAATAAATTATATTTAATTTCACCAACCAATCACTATCCCGATTACCCATTCCCGTTATCCTCACTTTACGTCCCTAAAACAACATCTATCTCAAGGGACCTAATCTAGGATTTTCATCGGGACGGACATTACTGCTAAGGGGTTTCCTTAACAATAGATATCCTAAAGGCAACCATGAGGGGGATAGAGTACACCGGTGAACACATCGTTCACAACACCTACAAGTTATGAACTTGCTAGCGTTCCATGAGACTGTCTAGAAGGAGTCTGTGGTCGTTATCCATACTCCGCTGAATAACTAGGTCAACAACAACATCGAGGCCTCTCATCTGTTTATTACACACCAACTATCTACCCATGTTCTACCCAACATATTAGTAGATAAAAATATATATTTTTATACATAGTTTAAAACCTGTATAACATTTTCATCCAATACATATTTCACATAATAGATGAGGCATACCCACATAACACGTATTTCATAGAAAACAAATCAGATCTATGAGATTGAAGAGAGTGAATATACATTCACGTAAATAACAACAAAAGTATACACATAACACGTATTTCGTATAAAATACTTCATAATTATGCGTTAGAAGAAAGTAACTACACACTCACTTGATCAGAAGATGATCGGACAACACTACGGCTTGTAGAAGTAGTAATCCTCAGCAGATCTGGAAGATCTCTACAAAAATCGAACTTCTCGCGGACAGAGCTTCGGCTCGAAAATCGCACTTCTCGTGATCTTCGGGGCTTCGAAACT